CCAGCGACGCGAGGTGGTTGGGGGAGGGGGGGGTGTCGACGGACGACAATTTGCTCATAATATTTTACATGATAATTTAAATTCGATCAAATAGACCAAATTCTAAATTCAATCAAAATAAACTAAATAATAAACTTTAAATTCATGGAAACGTTAAATTGTTTTTCATCTTATTCATATCAAATACATTATTTCCATAAATCTCTATAAATAAATTACAACACGCCACAAATAATTCCAATAAAACAGCCCCTAAACCATAATATCTAATATTAAATACAATATATTTATGTTTCACCCTATTTCCTTTACATTATATATTATTTTCTTGAGCCGATTTCCTACAGGAAAAGAACTCTCCGCGCCCACTTGGCCTAAATTTTACTCAAAAAGCTGCTCTTAGTGGGTTGACTATGTAGCGAGAATCTTTGACTTTTGTGATTATTAATTATCGGCATGCGTACTTAAACCTCGGGACAAAAATAATTATGTCTTAACTTTATAAAATATTATTTAATCTACTTTTAACACCATTACATCAGCATATTTTTTACATAAAAAAATTAATAACGAAGCAAAACCCTAATCGGCATGATACAAACTACTAATGCAATCATTTCATTAAAAAAAAAAATTCAATTCACGGATTTTGATATTTTCGGACGATGATTTTAATCTCACTTGAAAATGAGAGGCAATTGATACATCATCAATAAATTTTCAAATGCAACTTTTTGAGCAATTGATAAAAGTCATTTGATAGACTCAACGAGACAGACCCAACGATACCAAAATTTGTCTGATTTGAGTCAAATGAAGCTCAGATTAAGTCGTTAGGTAATTTTTTGAAGCATCCAAATATATTTTGAAGATTAAACGGATGTCCAATCTGATGAACTTATAGTTGAATCAAGCGTCTAGACAATACAAATCCAACGAGTCAAATATCACTCAGTTTTGACATCATCAAGACACTAAAATGTCTATCAAATATTGTTTTATCGTGAAAAATCACTATGGACCGTCCGATTAAAGAGGTTTATATTCCTTTACTAATTGAAACTGAGACTTTATAAATAGAGCTTCTCCCCTCTCATTAGTAACAGGGGGTCGCCTGAAGCTTGAAGATGACTAAAGCTTAGAGAATAAGTTGAAGTTCAATATCATCTCGTCGTCGATCGCCGCCGATTATCAATCAACGATCATTGTTAGTCATTAGTTGCCAATTGATGTTGATCATCAGTTGTCGACCAAAGCCAACCACCACTCGCCGACTGCCGTTGATCTGCATCAGCCACCGCTGATCAACATCGGTCTCCGCTCACTTCTTACGATAAGTTCATCTGCGCACTAACTTTGCAGCTCAGAAGATTATGTAACATTTTACAAGATATCATACTTGTAATCTCCAGATTATAGTGGATTTATTCAGTTGGGCAAGACATCGTGGTTTTTTTTTTCCTTTTAATGGTTTTTCATCTACGAACTTATGGGGACTCCACCGATTGTTTTATTTCATCTGATTGTGTGTTGAATTCTCGTGCAATACTAAGACAATAATCTATTACTCTATCGCCGTGAATTTTTTTAGCAAACATCACATATGAAAGCAAATTTATTCTTGTATAAATAAATATATCATGAACATAAATGTAGACTATCTTTTGTGTTTTTTAAATATAAAATTAATATGTTGAATCGAGCCCACCTACCGATATGATTGAATCGATCCCACCGACCTAAGCGGCTAAATCTCATATTTCTGGATAAAGTGACCTAGCCCTAAGGATGCACATCTATTAGAGAAGGTCATCATTATTATCAATGACACGAGTCCATCATCTTTTACAGGTGTACTCTGACATCCACATCATAGTATTTTCATCAAAACGCCATGAATGATTGTCTTATTGTACTATGTGTATTTTCTATTATTTTGTCAATTTTATATAAAAGAAGTCAAGATAAGAGAAGAGAAGGTTGAATATTTTTTTCCAAAATTTCTCTCGCTCTCTCTCTCTCTCTCACATTATAAATCGAGATATCTAGTCTGCCATTTTGTTTGGTTTGACATAAGTTCAAGCTCAATACACAATTCTTGACGCCTTCTCTTAAACCTCACCACAATCTCTCTTTCTTTTACATTTTTTTTCACGAATATAAGATCTTTACCGAATTATATGTACTCACCAACAATACATCAACTCGCTATAATCTGTTAGTTTTTTCTTCCTTATAAAGGCACAAATATTAGGAATTTACAAAAAAGTGCTCAGAGCTTTATAGGTCTTACATATAACGACAATAATTGTTGGAAATTCGTGCTCAGATTATATATATATATATATATATATATATA